GCACCCTTGAAGGCAACATGTATTTGGATCCCTGCCATCCTTGTGGGAAACTTGGATTGAGTTCTGAGCTCCTGGCTTCAGCCTGACCCAGGCATTTGGGAAACTGGCTAATGGGAGATCTCTCTCTCTTTCCCCCTCCTTCCCATCCTTAAATTTTTTTTTTTAATTTAAAAGGTGGGAACAGTGAGACAGTGTTGTTATTCTGAGGAGGGAAATGAGAGTGACAAGTGTGTGAGGCAGATGACACTCCCCACCCTGCCCCGGTAACCAGGCACTCTCAAATAACCTGAGAGCTCAGGATATGTAGTAAAGAAAAATAAAGGAAATGTGTACTATAAAATGGTACCTTCTATTTACTCTTAAAATATGACAACCTTTTGACATAGATTCACCTATTCAAGAGCACATACAGTTCATCAGACTTTATTTGCATTATTATTTGCTACTTTTTTAACCTTGATATTTATGTATGAATTGGCTCCAGAATTCATAGCAAATGGCACCCTTTAATATTTTTCTCATACAAAGATAAAGTGTGTATGTGAATACATTTTTATCCAGTTTGTAAATTGTAGGGCTCCTTCAACTTGCAAGGAATCATGCTTGTCTGTGCATGCCTACATTTTCTCATTTCTCCACATTCATCTGTGGATTTCATTCCATGAAGGAACTCTGGAAACAATGCAGTGGTAGTTAAATTATTTAAAAAATAATTTTCAAGATGCTTATTGAATTTGGACAACAAACAAAGTCTCTTATTTATAGATAGCTTAAGATTGATTGGAGGAAGAGCATGAGGAACACATATAAATGTATGCACATATACAAAGAATATATAAAAAGACATATATGCATTAAGTATCCCTAAAGATCTCGGGTGAAATGTTCCACAGGATACTGAGAAAAGAATAGGAAGTTGCAGAAAAAGCATATATGTCCAGATCCCTAGCCAGGAGGTGAAACTGACTCATGTGTAGACATGCCTGTGGTTGGCAATTTTCTGTGTTTTTGGAAGGCCAATGGGCTCGTTCTCAGTTAAATAAATATGTAGGTTTAAAAGGCAGTTGGGAGTACAGTAGTTATCCCTTTGTTGAATAGCTAACAAATGCTGGCAAACTAGGATCTGTGAAGGATCCAGGGGTCATGTGGAACAAATTGCCAAACTGGAACTTACCTGGGGGTGGGGGTCTTAGTTGTTGCATCGTGGGTTAAGCAGTCCTTTGGGATGCCAGCATCACATATCTGAGTGCTAGTTCAAGTTCCAGCTATTCTGATTCCTATCCAGATCCTTCCTGATATGCTTGGGAAAGCAGCATAAGATGGCCCAAGTAATTGAGTCCCTGCCATCCACGTGGTAGATCCAGGCAGAGTTCCAGGCTCCCAGCTTCGGCCTGACCCAGACCTGCTATTGCAGCCATTTTTGGGAAGGGGCTGTAAATCAGCACATGGAAGACCTCTCTCTCTCTGTCTCTCTCTCTCTGTGCATGTGTGTATGTGTGTGTGTGTGTGTGTGTGTATTTCTCTCTGTCACTCTTTCAAATAAAAAAACTTTTTTTTAAAATCAACTTACCTGGTGCTGCTTACATCCATTAGACCTCAAGCGAGGTGAGGGCCATTTTAGAATATTTTCCTTGTGATAACTCCTGTAATTCTCAAAGATCTGCTCCTCATCTTAAATGCTAGGGGACAGGTCTCACTGGGGAAGTGCTCAGGCACTGTAGCTGGTCCATTAATTCTTTCCACTATTAGATCCTTCATTCTTTTTTCTTTTTTTTTTTTTTTTGACAGGCAGAGTGGACAGTGAGAGAGACAGAGAGAAAGGTCTTCCTTTTTGCCGTTGGTTCACCCTCCAATGGCCGCCGCGGCCGGCGCGCTGCAGCCAGCGCATCGCGCCAATCTGAAGCCAGGAGCCAGGTGCTTCTCCTGGTCTCACTTGGGCCATCCTCCACTGCAGTCCCGGACAACAGCAGAGAGCTGTCCTGGAAGAGGGGCAACAGGGACAGAATCCGGCGCCCCGACTGGGACTAGAACCCGGTGTGCCGGCGCCGCAAGGCAGAGGATTAGCCTAGTGAGCCACGGCGCCGGCCAGATCCTTCATTCTTAAAAATGTAGTTGACTGCTTTGCCCAATTGTGGCTCCACAGACTCTTCCCTTTCCTAAACTGCATTTTGGATTCATGGGAATGCTCAGTGCATAGGCAAAATCTAGCTCCCACATTCTTTGTGCTGTTTTGTACAAGTCACGTTCTTCTATGGGTGGCTTATATGATACGTAAACATAAACATATATAACTGTAAGTGTATTTGGCCTCTAGGTCCTTATCTACACTGTATTCCTGCTCTCTGTCCCCATTGCCTTAGTCGAAGCATTAACACACCTCACCTGGACTAAAACTATGTCTTCTAACCAAGTTCTTTGTTTCTACCCTTCCTCCACCTGACCTCAGTCTCATTACAGCATCAGGAGTGTCATTTTTAACGTGCAAAATTTGATCCTATTGCTTGCAATTTATAATCTTTCTATGTTCCCTCCAGAAATGAAAGTCACACTTCTTCATACGCCTCAGAAAGGTCACGAGGATCTGACCCTTATCTTCTGTCTCCAGCTTCATCTCTTTGAACTCAGCTTGAGCCATTCTGAGCTACTTGTAGTTCTGTAAACAACCTTCACTTTTCTCCCCCTGCTGGTGAAACTTGAATTCCTAGCTTTCCTCTCTCCAGCTCTGCCCTTGCTATCTTCTCTCCAACTCTGATCATTTTTTTCATTTTTTTTTATTTTTTAAAGACTTATTTAATTTTATTTGAAAGACAGAGTTACAGAGAGAGGTAGAGACAGAGAGAGAGGTCTTCCACCTGCTGGTTCACTTCCCAGATTGCCGCAACAGCTGGCGCTGCGCCAATTCGAAGCCAGGAGCCAGGAGCTTCTTCCAGGTCTCTCATACGGGTGCAGGGGCCCAAGGACTTGGGCCATCTTCAACTACTATCCCAGACCATAGCAAAGAGCTAGATCGGAAGAGGGGAAGCTGGGACTAGAACCAATTCCCATATGGGATGCTGGTGCTTCAGGACAGGGCTTTAAACTACTGCTCCACAGCGCCAGCCCCTCATTTTTTTTCTTAACAGCTTTATTAAGATACAATTCATATAATATACAATTCATATAATATACAATTCACCAATTTAAAATGTACAATTCAGTCATTTTTATTTTAGCCACAGAGTTGTGCAACAATTACCATGATTTAATGCCAGAATTAGCTTTGCTTCCCCATGGACATCTCACATCCATTAGCAGACATTTTCCATTTCCCCCGGTTCCTCTTCCACCCCAGCCCCTGGCCACTATTAATCTACTTTGTTCTCTATAGACTTTAATACTCCAGATTCATCTTTCAAGATTTCTCAAGTGTTACCTCTTGGTGTTTGTCTCCCAGTCCCCTGATTCCAAAGTCTAGGCTGCAATATTTCCTGCTCATAGTTCTGTCTTGGCATTTATTCTACACTGTTCTTGCCTGCTTTCCCACAGGAAGTAACATACTCATCTCTGAAACCCCAATATCTAATACTTTGCCTGGCTCATAGTCGTGTTCTTTAGCTACTAACTGTTTGAGTGGCAGGGAGGCACGTTTCTCAATGAATGGGTGAGAGATGGGTGAATACACAGCTAAAGTCTGATAGTGGATGGCTAAGTGCCCATTTTTCAACACACTTGCACATGAATAAACTCAGCAAACCACCATATGGCTGTGTCGTCCATCTCTGGAGATAATTGTGCAAGTCTCAGAACCTAGGGAAACATTACTATAAGTGGTGCAGGAGTTATACCCTCAGGAAATATTCATGATACAGTGGTTTAAGCTTTACTCTGGGATTACATACAACACTCTCAGACTATCTTTCTGCTTAACTTTTTCAATTTTGTATTTATATTCTTTCTCTACCCCCACCATGAGCCAACCGTTTCCCTCCCTCTCTACACACCCTTGGGGTATTTTCTTTTGGTTTTAAAGCACATTTCAAAATACCTCTGTTTAACAATGGAGGTCCTAAGACTAAAAAAAATACTTTGGCATGAGATGTTTGAACATGAACCACATTTCTTGTTTCATGATTAGGTATTAAAAAGTTCTTTAGCAAGGGGATATAAAACAATTTGAAAGAGAAATGGAATATGAACATGTTAAAAATTAAACCATCTCCTTTTCAGCATTTTATTTGCTAAAAAACAAGAGATGCACCTACAATCTGACCACTAGCATCTATCACTCTGTGTCTTTATGCCTCTTTCCCTGTCTTAGCTGCCTCATTCTTCTCTTCTAACCTCTTCCTCATCTTCTTTGTCTGTTCTCTCTTCCATTTCTGATCCCTTCCTCTCTTTCTTTGAGTTTCTCTTCTATCCATTTTTCTGTTCAAGCTTTTTTGTTTCTCCTCCACTTTCTTTTTCATTCCTCTTCCTGACTAGTCTGCTTTCTCTTTTTTGCCCTCTGTTCTTTTCACCCAGGATAGGTAAGGATAAGCAGGAAATGGGAGGGCAGAAGATTGACAGTGGGGCTGTCCTGCATTTACCCTGTCAGCTACCAAATCAACTTTATTTCTTCCCCTGTATGTAAGGCACATAACCTGTCTGTGCCTCACTTTTTTCCTCTATGAAACTAAAGCCAAGGAATACTTTCTCAGACTACCTCCAAGAGATATTAAGGTCAAACCTGGGCATGCATATGAGAAAGATTTGAAAAGAAACAGACCCCAGTGATTGGGAAGCACTCAGGGAACAAGCGGGAGGACATTGCACTGCACTGAGGCAGGATCTAATTAACTGAGGATTGCAGTTCTTGCCCTTTTGAGGAATGTGTTTCTTTTCACCTTTGTTCTGCTCATCAAATCGCTTGGTTGTCTGTGTACCTTGTTTGAATGTTCTTAGTGTCTTCAGAGGGGAAGGATAACTTGCTCCTTTGTATGCTGTTGATTTTTATCCCTTCCTTTTCTCTTGCCTTGGGCTAGCAAACGGAACCTCCAGCAGCCAGCTTTCTACCCCCAAGTCTAAGCAGTCTCCCATCTCTACGCCCACCAGTCCTGGCAGCCTCCGGAAGCACAAGGTATTATGTCTCTTATACCTTACTAAACTCCCTTGCACTCAAAATTTCTTGAATGGCTGGGTGAAGATTTTCTCTTCTATTCTACTTCAACAGTACATTAAGGCCAGAATTTCCCTTAACTGGTTCCACCAGCTTAAGTTCCTGGGAAGCCCACCAGGGACCAAACTTCTAGGCACTTTCATTTATTCCTCTGACTCCTATTATTTATTTCCAGTTATACTCTTGTACATCTTCCAAAAGGAGAAGGTACAGAGGTCCCAAGTACCCATTCTGAGCTAATGTTGTTACCAAATCATGTCTTAGGAATTAGGTTGCACATGGGTCTCCCCAGTTCAGAGACAAAGCACAGGAGATATTGAGGGCAACTTATGTCATCAGACAGCAGTCAATGGAAGCAACATACAGATGGCAGTTTCAAAACTGCACTGAGTTACTCCTTTTAGAATTGCTGGATACCAAGGAATGAATACACTCTTATCTCATTCTGTGCTCTTCATTACCAGGCAAATTCTGGTGCAGCATAGGAAAATGGGCCACATACACACTATATTGGCCTTAGGCACCATGTATATGCCTTAAGCTATCACAGGCAAATAAATCATTAAAATAATTGAAATTTGAATTCTCTAGCTTCACTTACCGATCAGGTTCCCACATAGAAATCCCTCCTGTGTAGAAAATCTGAAGAACTCACTGCCTTCAATCTTTTACCTGTGGCAGTGCGATGTGGTTTCCCTCTGAATACCACACTGTGGAGTAGCTTGCTCTATGATTCTCTTGACTTCTCCCTGCTCATAGCACTTGATGTGAGAATGAAAAAGGCAAAAAGCCACTAATCTAACTCCACACGGAACTATGGATGGTCAGAACTAGAAGCCATCTTAGATGGTGATAAACTAGTTCCATTTGATTCTCAATAATCTTATGTTGTTGAAATTTCACAGATGAGGAAACTGAGACCCCGAAAGATTGTTACTTACCATGATAACCTAACTATAGGAATAGTACTCAATGCCAGTGGTATCCTGGAGTCAGTTTACACTACCTTGAGAGAGCTGATTGTGTACACTGCTTCCCATATCTGTGTTCAACAACATCGTATTGCTAACTTGAACTCTGCCATGATGAGAATATTTACATCATGGAAACTGGCAAATACAATAAATCAAGGTTGTTGTTTTCCCTTTCACAGAATATCAATCATTAACATTTAAGTGTATAGTGCTGCCTGACATCCATTTTCATTTCCTTTTCTCTATATCAGGCTTTTAATTTCCCAGTCTATCTGGCCATTGCCTACCTGGTCATTTCTAAGGCCTGTTCCATTTCTTTAGTGACCCATTTAACTTGTATTATTGCTTTTGACCAGAAATTCAGGATTGTCCCACTGAGCTATTTGGTTTCCCCAAAGAAGGGTTTGCTAAACAATCTGTGTATACAATGCTACCAGAGATTGTAAAATGAATGAAAATTGTTTGTACAATAGTAAGCTTTCAGTTATTCTTTGCTAGAAACAAAACCTTTTAATATGAACATTTCAGTATGACAAGAACCACCCTCTGTTGTTCCCGTGGTCACAGAATCACCTATTCCACATTACGTCTTACTATACCTTTGCCCCATGCTTTTGTGTTCTGCTTTTCCTTCTGGGAAACTTGACTTACTCCAGCATCTACTATCAGTATTTTCCCCAAAGTGCTGGAGGCAGCAGGGGCATTTGGTCTGCACATTTGAGTCATTAAGCTTTCCAGTTCACTTTGGTTAAGGATCCATCATCCCTAAGCCCATTAAGGCAAGTGTTGGCATTGCTAAACAGCTTCTCTTGATTGAGCTTACAGGTTGTTGTGGACTTGTAGCTTTTTTTGCTTGTTATTCGACTCAATTCTAAAACAGATTTTAACCATTGAAGGACTTGAACAAGTTCACAGGAGACCATATTGTAAGAGATCACTGTTTTCTTAAGTGTGCATTGTCAGTGTACCAATTTATTTTTAAAATTACTCTTTTTAAGACAATCAAATAAACACTAAGAAATAAAGTATATATCTAGAGCAAACTTTTAAATAAAATAAACATTTAGATTTTAGTACAATGTTCACTATTTTCAAAGCTTTTTAATTTTATATCATGTCAAACTTACAGAAGAAGAGTTACAAAAATAATTAGCTATTGTTTGTCCTTTACATAGATTCATCAGTTGTTTATATTTTGCTCCATTTATTTTTGGTGTATACACACACATCTCAAAAAGTTTGTGAAAAAATAAAATTAACAAATAAGTTTATTTAGGTGCAAAACAATTTTGAAATCCATGCATAGATCGTCAGGATACAGATTTTTCATGAGCATTTTCTAAACCCCTCACATATATACACATACATAGATACATATATGAGAGTACTTCAAAAATTAGTGGAAAACGGAACTGAAAGATTAGTTTATTGGGGCTGGTGATGTGGTGTAGAAGGTTAAGCCTCTGCTTGCGGTGCCAGCATCCCATATGAATGTGGTTCAAGTCCCAGCTGCTCTACTTCTGATCCTGCTAATGAGACTGGGAAAGCAGCAGAAGATGGCCCAAGAGCTTGGGCTTCTGTACCAACATGGGAGACTCAGAAGGAGCTCTTTGTTCCTGGTTTGGGCCTGGTACAGCCCCAGCAAATGCGGCCATCTGGGGAGTGAACCAGTGGATGGAAGATCTCTCTCTCTCTCCCTCCTTCTCTTTCTGTATCTATGTTTTTCAAAATGATATAAATCATTTTAAAAATACCAGTTCATTTTGTTTCAAAAAAATGTTGAAATGCATAGTTTTTCATAATATGCATTTCCATGTACTTTTTGAAGACCCCCTTTGATTTTCAGCATTTTTTGGCACCAGAACAAACATCTTTGAATTCATTTAAAATAAACATTTCAATGTAGTGTATACATTACATTTTACTATTTTTTGAACCCTTCTACTCCTGAATACTTCAGTGTGTATTTCTTAAGAACAAGGACATTATCTTAATTACCATAGAGCAATTATTAAAATCAAGAAATTTAACACTGACATAAATCTGCTATATACTCTAGAGTCCATATTCAATCTTTATTAATTTCTTTAATAATGTTCTTTTTCTGGCCTGGGATTCAGTCTATAACGCAACATTGTATTGAGTTATCATGTTCCCTTTTGACTTTTTTAATCTGGATATTTTCTTGAGACTTTGTTTATCTTCCAATACAGTATATTGTACAAATGAAGTTATTTGGTGAAATGTCTTTAGTTTGGGCTTGTTGGATGGTTCCTTGTGATTAAATTCAGATTATGCATTTGGCACAGGAATATCATAGGAATTATGTTGTGTCCTTCTCAGTGTGTCTTATCAGGAGGCAATAGCCTCAATGGTTACATCATCTGTGATGGAGATTGAACTAGTTCTTTTGCATAAGCTAAAAAGTGTCTTATGACCTTGACCCAATCTCCCTGTGTCTCAAGTCCCACTTTCATGTTCCTCCTTTCATACAACTACCTGAGCTTTAGCATCATCAGGGTACCTGGGCAGCAGGCCTGAGCAGATCTCATCTAAATTTCCATCCAAGTGGGCCTGAAAGGTGTGAGTCGTGGTAGAGGCAGGAAGCAGGTGGCTGAGGCCACAACTTTCCTCCTGCGCAATTGGAAACAAACTTGAAGTCCCAGCATCCCTTTGGTAATGTTTGATGGCTGTGATGGGGCCCTAAGCTGTAATCAGCCTCTTGGCTTCTCCTCTTAAGCAGCTCATGGAGAATCCTCTTTAATGCAGCTGCAATGGGGTTAGCCAAAGTCCGCATACTCAAGTGCTGCAATATGGATGCAAAGTAAATCCTTGGATAGTTAATGAAAACAACATTTTGCATTTCCATTCTGTTTTATTCTTTTACATAGTCATTTTCACATTTGCCCTTGTGGTATCCCTGTGAAAGGGATAGGACAGATACTATTCCCATTTAACAGATGAGAAAAAAGGTGCAGAGAGATCTGCCCAAGTATGATTCAACAAAAACTTACTGAGGACCTTCTGTGAAGAAAATACTATATTAAAGATGTTCAAAAAGCCTACAAAAGAGAACTCTGCTGTTTGCTTTAATCCCCTCCACACACACACACACACACAGATTAGTGATTTCATCCATGACTTTAAATTCAGGACCATTTTACCTGCAAAATTGTCTTGGAGATTAAAGGAAAACACATTTTCTATATTATGTGAATATATAACATTATTTAAATATGCATTTTCCTCTGTTACTAGTCTTCTTTTATCCTCCCGTAAGCGCCTGGTGAAGTAGTTTGATGAGTAAAGCAGAGTACTGACCCTTAAGTCACAGGCACTACTAGCTCTAATATAAGTGGATTTGGGTAGTGTAATGATAAGGAGCTAGGAAAGAGACAAAGGAGGGTGGGAGATGGGGAAAACCTTTCACAAAAGTAACATTTAAGTGGAGTCTTGAAGGCTGGGTAGGCTTTTCATGCCTGGTTAAAGAGAAAAGGCATTGCAGCTTTCAAAAAATGTTGTCAGAACAAAGTCACGCCATCACACAAGTACATTTGGGAAATAGCAAACGCAAACTAGAAGCCAGGTTTCTCTAAACTCCTCCCTGACTTCCTTTGGCCTATAAGCTCCTTGGACCAGAGACCAACTTTTTTGTTTTCTCTAATGCAAAAGTATCGCCAGCACAGCTGTATTTGTTACAAACATTTTGTTCTGTAGGGCTCCAAGGGACTAAGCAAATGAATTTCAGGTGCAAATTATTTGTATTGTTAAGCAATATGTGTATTTCTGTATTTCTACATATCAATCAACAAAAGCAGAATGCTGAGATAATTCTTTTTCCTGAACATTTTCTACCCATACAAGAAAATAAATTTTGAATACAAAATAAACTGATAGAGGTACAGAAGTTCAAAAGGTCATATGTAAGCCAAGTCCTATGGATTCTCTCCATGGCCTGTATCTCTACCCGTCCCTAGTCAGAACAGCTGC